GAATGATTTGTTCTAATGGTGTTTGTAAATAGGATATCAAGTCCGCATCTTGTACAACAATTAACCTCTAGGAAGAATGTATGCAATATGTTAATTATTGAAACTGTCCTACTGATTTGATTTGCAACTGTGTCATTGCTATTTGTTTATCAATAAAATTATGGGAAAAAAAAAGATTTAAACAGCCAGCTCTGACAGGTAACAGAAACTAAAACTATTTCATGTTTTTTACTGTCTACTTCCTCCACACAAAGGAGCTGTGCATTGATTTTAGTTCATAGAATTATCTCAAATAATTATAATGTTAAGGAAAGACCATTAAAAATAAAGCTGCTATTGTTATGGGAAAAAAAAAAGAAACACAAAAACGACTTAAGAATACTCCTAAACACAGCACGGCTCAAAAGCATGAAGCAGATTCCTCCGGGAGAGCACAGTCGGCATTATTCCACCAGAAAAATGGGCAGATCTCAAGAGAAGAAAGTGTTTTAGTTATAAGTGAATAAAAGAGACTCAAACCTTAGAAGCTCTAGAGAGTACACGTGCCGGCCCCGCCCCCGAGGCATGCTGAGACAGAGATGGAGACTGGGCGTGGTGGTGCTCACCTGTAATCCCAGCACGTGGGAGGCTGAAAACAGGACAATCACTAGGAGTCCGATCTATTTATTGAGACCATGTATACCTTGCGCTAAATACGTTAAAAGAAAAAAAAAAAAAGAAGCTCCAGAGGGTATAGTCTCAAAATATTTTTCAGAAATTTAATTTAGTGAGTGCAACAAAAAATCTATAATTATATACAATAGCTCACTTATAGGGGCATTCTAAAACCTGAGGTGGAAAGATTACCTTCATAATGATTTCACTTACTTGGGTCATACATTTAATATTTGTAAATTCTGCAAATCAAAGAGCTTTACTTATCTGGATCAAGCATGAGTAATAAGTAATACTTGTCAGGGAATAAAAAGGAAATTTTAGAGGGGAAGAAAAATTTGTATGGCCTTCGGCTGGTAATCGAGCTCTTAAAGATTTTCTGTAGTCCCGTCCCTGAATATATTAATATATTGCAAAAATTTGTAAACTTCAAAGACTGACTCATTTCTAGAATCAGATTTCAAAACATTACTTTCTTTCCAGATATTACTGTTTCATCTAGATGAAGTATAGATAATGATAAGAGAGATCATTTTTCAGCCAAAAGACTTTTGTAAAAGCCCAAATGTTCAAAATTCAATGGCTTATTTTGGCAAACCATATCTTTTCAAAAACTGTTTTTTGCATTTTAGAAAAACGTTCCCTGGCAACTGCAAGGGTCTGAGTTCAATCCCCGGTTCCGCCAAAAAAAGAAAAAAAGAAAAAATGTCCTTATTTTTTCATGGTACATTCTAAAGTTTACAGATGTACACCCTGGGAACCATGACTATTTACTTATTTATTTTCTGTACTTAGGACAGGGTCTACAGAGTCTCACTATGTAGATCAGACTCCTAGTGATTCTCCTGTTTTCAGCCTCCCAAGTGCTGGGATTACAGGTGAGCACCACCACACCCAGTCTCAATCACCCGCTAAGCATGTCCTGCAAGGTGGGGCCCGCATGGCATGCTGGGATCGAACCCAGCCACTGCACTCCTGCCTAAGCAGGCGCTTTAGTCCAGTGAGCTATTAGGCCTGCCCCAAATGTAAGCATTTTCATTCCTTTCAAGGTTTCTTCCATCTGCATCACAATGAACCCTCACCCACTCCATATCCAGGCAACCATGATCTTCTTTTTGCATTTTCTAAATCAGCCAAAGAAGGAGCGCTCACACTGCAAGGATACTCTGTGGCTGGCTTTTCCCAGCCAGCATGACGATTTTCAGAGTCACCTATGATGTTGCTTGCACCACAGTGCACCCTTTTACCACTGAGTACTATTCCATTGCATGACTGTGTCTCTCATCTTTATCCATGCACTTACTGAACACTGAGTTGTTTCCAGTTTAGGAAAGCTGTAAATAAAGCTGTTGTAAACGTCAGTGTATAAGACAACTATATAAACATGTATTTTCACTTCCCTTGAGTAAACACCTACTAGTGCATGGGTGATCATGCATCAGCGAGGTGGATGTCTAGCTTGTTAGTGGGTGTGGAGAAGGCACCAAGGATTGAACGCAGTGACTTTCCACTAAGCGGTATCCCCAGCCCTTTAATTAATTTTGAGAAAGGCTCTTAGGAAGTTGCTAAACTGCCGAGGCTGGGCTCAAATGCACAATCCTCTCCATTCAGCTTCCCTCAGTGCTACGATTACAGGCATGCATTATGAGGCTGTAATATTTAGCTTCTAAAGAAACTACTAAATATTTCTCTAAAGTAGTTGTATCATTTTAAAATTTCACCAAAAGAATATGAATAGCCCAGTTCTTCCACATTTTCACCAATGCTTGTGTATCTAGTCTTCTTTAATGTTTAGCTATTTAAAATACTTCACTTTTAAAATCTTATTTGTTTAGAAAGTTATATTTTTTTCTACACTTAAAAATCACAATTTGTGACTTTTTTCCCTTTGGAATGCATTGCCTCTGCTACGCCATAGTCAGGTAATATTAGGGAACTAATAATTTCCTTGCCTTGTCTTCCATAGGTATTTATCTTGAGTTTATTAATAAAGTCAAATGAAGGTGAAGGAATGATAGCTTGATAGACTTTCGACATCAGTGCATATCCAAGTTTAAAAAAAGAGAAAAAAACCCTTATATTTAGTAATTCTGAGTTGGAGGCAAGTAAATATACAATCATATATACTGTATTTTATTTTCACAATTCCCAAGTACAGTTTCCTAGTGCTCATTTGTCCATTTTGTTTGCCAACCACAAATTGACAGACCTTGGTAGAATAAAACCTAATAGATTTTCTAACCTTCAGGTAAATTATCTTTGTGTCTAGAAGAAATTTTATATACCCATTATCTCTGGAGCAATTTAGGTTTATAAAATATTTTAAAATAGTGACACAGTTTCTCCTAATGTTGACTTAGGTAGAAATGAGGCATTAGGCAAAATAAAGATACAGATACTGATAAATTATAGGCTTTAGTTTTTCACTAATGTTCTCTTTCTATTCCAGGAACAATATAGGATACCACTCTTTGGGAAGAGAATTTTAAAAATTGGAGTGACTACCAGTCAGAAGTCAGCAACTTCTACCATCTTACTTTAAAAAAAATATTTATTTATTTATTCATTTGGTACAGGGTCTCACAATACAGTGTGGACTCATAGTGGTCCTCCTGTCTCAGCCTCCTCAGTGCTAGGATCGCAAGCACATGCCACCACACCCAGTTTCCCTAGCTGGCACATACAATACCAGAGATCGAACCCAGGTCCTTACCCTTGCCAGGCAGGTACTCAGACTGCCGAGCTAACTCCCCAGTCCTACTACTTTACTTTTTAAAGAATTTATTTTTAATTGTTAAATAAAAGTATATATAATTGTATTATCTAACAATTTATAATAATTTATAATATACATAAATATATGATATGTAATATATATAATTTATATATAAATTGCATCTATCTATGTCTATCCATATCTATCTATCTATGTATCTATCTATGATGCTTTGAAATACATGTGTAACACAGAATGCCTAAACTGGGCTAGTAAACCTATGTATGATCTCAATAATTTTTATGGGAATATTTAGAAATCTACTGTTATTCTTTTTTTTTTTTGTTTTGTTTTGTTTTGTTTGGCAGAGCCGGGGATTGAACTCAGGCCCTTGCGCTTGCCAGGGAAGCGCTTATTCTACTGAGCCATCTCCCTGGCCCCCTGTTATTCATTTTCAATAATACAATACATTGGTATTAATTATAATCACTGCATTGTAAGGAGATCTTATGAATCTATTCCTCCAATCAGACTGAATCATAACTTCTACCCAACATGTCTCTAAAATTCCATATTTTCCCCAAACCTAGAAGCTTCATTCTACTCTCTGCTTCTAGGAGTTCAACTTTCGTAGAGTCCACACCAATGCATTTATAACTATTTTAAAGAAATTAAATGAATTACTGGTTAGTAAAAGTCATTTATTTTCTCCATTCGTGTTTTGATGGTGTCCATGCCAGGAAAAAATAATCCAAGTGTTGTTCATGATGAAAAAGTTGTACAACTGACATTCAGAGTACACTGTCCTGGCCTGTGTTATGTACTTTATAGGTGGTCTGTCATGTATCTTTAAATGCAGTAACAAACATGAACACAGAGTAAGTACCTTAAAGGGTGGTTCAGCAAAAAATAGTGATTCCTTTCCCGAAAGTGGTGTTGAGGTTATTGATCTTGGGGAAGATACATCACTCAACTAAAAAAAAAAAACAAAAAACCACCAGTGAAGAATGATCAGAGGCTGCGTACCACATTGGTGTATTATCTGTTCTGTTAAAAACTTTATAAAAAGGATTTTGCTGTGGAGTTTTTAATTCAGAAAACAGCACAGATTATTTTTCTAAAGCTTATTTGCTGAATAAATGAAATTAGCTTTATGATAAAGTAAGTCTACTTAAGGCTGCAAAGAAGCATAAAATATGATAAACTGCTTTTTACCTTTTAAGAAAGAAATTTGACCATAAGCTTCTGTTTCATTTAAATTAAGGGTCACTAATGCATTATGACTTCCTTCCTAATTGCTCTTTTTTGCATGTGTATCTAAATTCTCATTGATGCCTTTCTGTACTGTGTGAATCGCACAAATGTCCCCAAGGAATGTTGTAAAAAAATCACTCTATTGCATATATAACTTAGAATATAATATGCAATTAAATGTACTCTGAATTAAAAGTATAAAGATTGGAAAATTTTTGTGGAAGCAGCCACTTAAAGAACTAAGCTAGGGCCAGGCCCCTGGAAAATTTTTTTAAAAGGAGGTTTTCAAAGTCTTTTGCCCTGCTGAAAAATTAGTCAACTCGGTTGATGCAGTTAAGTCTTAAGGTATATCCTTAGCTTCTGTTAATTCAGGGCTAAATCTTTTTAGCCAATTCAACTATTTCACAGAGTAAAACTAAGTAACTTTGATTCTAATATTAACTAAAATCAATTTTTAAATCGATAAAAATTTTATTGCAGGTTGAGCATACTATGTAGATGTTAAAATACTTATTAAAAATTACTATTTAGGGCCAGCCAGATAGCTCAGCAGAAGCAGATTAAAGTGCCTGCTTAGCAGACAAAGGGACCAGGGACCCAGCGTGCCTTGCCAGCCTCACCCCTGAGGCATGCTGAGACAGTGAGGTGGCATGCACCTATAATACCAGGACTTGGGAGGCTGCAAACAGGAGAATCACTGTGAGTCTGATATGCATAGTGAGACTCTGTAGACCCTGTACTAAGTACCAAATAAATAAATCACTATTTAAATTTATTTATTTAACCTTACTTATTAGATGAGATTCTACTCTCTCTGAATATGCATGGTTTTATTTTTTTTTAACATCAAGCCTCAGCCTGTTTTTATTTGGCATTTCATAGATTTCTGGGCTCCCTCCTCGAACAGGTAGCTATAAACTCAAAAATGAAAAAAAAAACTGCACCAGCCAGGATTCGATTCCCTGGCCTGCTTAGCCTGCCCTGCCCCCAGGGTGTGCTGAGATGTCAATAGAGACTGGGTGTGGTGGTGCACACCTGTAATCCCAGCACTTGGGAGGTTGAAAACAGGAGAATCACAAGTCCAGTCTACGTAAGGAGACCCTGTCTTAATACATTAAAAAACAAAAAATAAAAATACTACTTGTAATATTAGCCAACTAAAAATGTAATTTAATTTTTTTTTTTTCTCCGCATGCCTTCAGGGCAGGTTTGGCTGGCTGGAGTTGTTGGGATCGAACCACAGCAACCTGAGCCTGACTGCTTGGTTGAAGCAGCCACTTAAAGAACTGAGCTAGGGCCAGGCCCCCCAAAAATATAATTTGAAAGGCAAATACATTTAACAAGGTTAAGAAGCCAACTAAAATGTACTGTCCTCTAAATGGCCTTCCCCATTTCCCTATTCTTTACTGATACCATTAATAAAGGTAACTAAAAATACACTATTTATTATCTTAAAAATTCCTGTGGAAAGATTGAGAAATTTCATTAAAGTTTTTGAAAAAGGAGACTGTTCAACTCCATAGTTTTGAAATAAGTGAAATCGACATCTTTTCCATACTAGGAATCAAAATCTTTCTTAACACAGTTTTCAATTTACTACTTTTGGTTTTCTGTGTGTGTGATGCTGGGGACCAATCCGGCCCTCAAGCACATGAGACCAGCCTTCTACCACCGAGCTACAGATTCAGCCTCACACCATATAGTTTCAAACTACAAAAGAAAATGTATAATGTGCACCTCATGGTCAGTTTAAAATCTTTCTTTATGACCTAAACACAAAATGATAAAACCATGGTTTGGCTGGTGTATACTTGTTGAGTTTTGGTTTACTCATTTTTACCTGGGTAGGACTGATAGGAGGTGGTGGAGCTTTGCGTTTTTTTGGAGTTCCACTTCTTTCTGAGCTTATTTTAGAGACTTGTTCATGCTGAAAGTTATCACAGTCCAGAGAATGGAGGTGTGTTAGTTAGGTTAGTAAAGTCTGAGCTGCATCAAACAAATGAGAAAAAAACCCTCAACAGTTCATGCATTTTTTATTTCATTGAGATCTGAAATCTGCTACCAATATAAAAATAAGTAATATGCATGCTCCAAGTTGTCTTCTACCAGCCCATGCCTTACAATTAAAAACACAACAAAACCAAATAAGCTGGAGAACTGGGAATGCAGAGGATTAGAGTTGTCTACTCTAATTTAGAACCTAGAATACAGTTAAATAGTTGTCTTTGCATCGGAATGAGAAGCAGTATTATTTCCTGCACCTCTTTATCACTTCTGTTCTGTTTTCTCTTTAAGAATGTTACCGTGAAGGAAAGGGGGATCTCGTCTCTGAAGGTTATTTATAAGTAAGTAATGAAGTTAGCAAATAATAAATTCAGTATTATTTGTTGAATACAACAAATAGTAACATGCATTTAGGAAAACCTCCAAACTAACAGGGCATGTTTCTCAATTTCTTCTATGGGTAACACAGAATGACATTTTAGAAAAAAAATCTACCTAACAGGCTAAACCGCTTTCATTCTTACATATCTGGCATTTTCATGGCCATAGATCTGTACTCTATGTAATATTTACAGGTAATTAAAATTCTAGTATTTGGTCTCATTTTAAATCACATCAAAACTTGTCACACCAGTAGGAACTATTAGTACATTTTGGGAAAAGATGAAGTATAAAGTTACATGCTTCTGAACTAAAGTATATGACTAAGAATACATTTACTGCCTTATAAAAATGAATGATTTATCCCAAAGATACTTCAGTACTTAAATATTTCAGTATACTATTTATCAATTTCGTAATCAATCAAAGAGTTTAATCTAAAAATTTTCAAATTTCCACAAGCAAAAATGAAAACAAAAAGTTCTTGACCACCCCTACCCAAAAATAAATACCTGCTTTGGTTTTGTTGGGGTCTTTACATCTAGAGAGAGTGAGAAAAAGAAGTATAAGAATCACAGTAACTTACATCATACCCACTTTGGGTAGCTACAAAGACACAGACATACATATCACAAACAACATTCAATCCCTCAGTTTTTTATCCAGCATATGTTTGCAAGAATAATAAAAGATATCATATTACACAAATTCCTTTATCCTTTGGGGAAAATGGAGTGGATAAATTTAAAATAACACTGGTTATTTTCTTTCACATACCAGCATCCTGAGAGATTTTTGATAAGAGAAGGCTTTGAATTCCTGCATTTTCTGAGAGTTTGGAATAATGTAAGGCATTGTGTCCAAGAGAATCTACAAGGTTTAGGTCTGCACCCTTTTTAATTAAGGCTTCCACGATGTTAGCGTTGCCAATCTCACAAGCCAGCATAAGAGCAGTTCTAAAAAAAGAAGACATAAAATTAGTACAAACTAAATGTGAAAACTCTTTACTGGGAAATCAGTTGTCCTAAAAACACAATGGAAATGAAGCTTCCATGAAGTTAAACCTTTATTACACTTAATATTCTGGGAAATTTGAAATGCAAAGCTATCAAGTTGAATTTAGGTGGTGGTTGTTGCTAAAACTTCAAATTACATTTAGTCAAACAGCATAAATAATCTACAATATTTAAAAAATGATTGGATTTAATACTTGATGAAAAATACCTGTTCCTTATTATCCCTAAGATGTTTGAAATGCAGTGAGATAGTGAGGTTAAGATTGATAGCCCAAATCGTTTGATAATAACAATAAGCTTTTCTTCTGGATGGTTAACAACCTAAGTTTGCAGACCAAATTAGAGAAAAAAGAAGGAAAGCCAACATTTTGGCCCTAGCCTTCTAAGGTCAATTAAGACTCAGGACATATGAGAACTTGTACTGTAACGTCATGTACCTCAGTAGTGTCCCAAATTTTCTGATCAAGAAGATTATGGGGCCAAAGAGGAAAGTGATCGATGACATAGAATGGGCCTAAGGAGAGTCACATGGGGAGAAGACACTCTCTCAGGCTTTCACAGAGAGCACATTGGCCAAGCAATGGCCGTGACTCATCCACATGGCTGCACTGATAAAGGTTCTACAATCTGAGGTACAGGATCTCAGGACAAATCCTGAGGGCATTTCACTGACCTTCTCAGACCAAAAAGCTACAACTCTTGTTGCATAGGTCTTGCTTTACCTTGGTCTTAACCATCCAGTAGAAAAGTATGAAGTCGAAATATAAGAAATAAAGCCATGCTGTTAAGTTGAGCTGTGGGAGACTCAGGTCAATAATTTCTGACATTGCCAGTTAAACAGAAGACCCAATGCTATTATGGGCTACTGGACTCTTTTAGAATATTTTGCTGAGTTTACACACCTATAATATTCAATGACGGATCTTAGAAAAAATGGGGTATACCGATGAATGTCCATTTTGTATCTGTGTATTCAAAGAGGTTGGGATAGATATATAGTTGCATTCTCTTAATGAATAGAATGATTTGTTCTAATGGTGTTTGTAAATAGGATCACAAGTCCACTTCTTGTACAGCAATTAACCACTAAGAAGAATATATGCAGTGTATTATTTGTTGAAACTGTACTTCGATTTGAATTGAAACTGTCTCATTGCTGTTTATCAATAAAACTTTGAAAAAAAAATGATTGGATTTAATATGATTGGCACAAATGTCCTTTTACTGTATTGTAAGGAGATAAAAAGAGTCCGTATTTTAAGACCATTTTAAGAAAGTAATCAATGTTGATTTTATTTTGTATGAAGTCATAGGAATTGGCTTTTATACTTCAGTATTTAATAGTTTCATCACTGTCACAACATCTGGGATAATTTGCTGTTAAACTGAACATCAAAAGGTGGAAAATCAAAATTTGATCACCAGAAAACTGAAAAAGAAAGAAGTCAAAACCACTTTGTAGGAGAACATCCAAAACACAGCTCTGTTCATGAGACTCAGAATGTGCGTATTGCTGAAGTTAGACAGTTGTTGCCTAACTATGTTCTACCTTCCATTTTTGTCCCTGGAATTGACATCTGCTCCATGATCCAGGAGAAAGCAACAGACTTCACTATGGCCATTCTGTACTGCAAGAAGCAGTGGTATATTCCCATCCTAGGAGACAAACCCAGATTTAGATCTTACATCTAGAACCAACCGGCAGAAATGCAAAGACCCTGTTCTTTGCACATTTTCTTCATGTCTTAAAGTGTTGACCTAATATTGGATCCCACTGGGTGTCTTTGTCCTTCCCAAGCACAACTGAAGGAATTTCACTGACTGTGAACTCTTTCCTGGAAGGCTCAACCTCTTGCACTGCTTGTTCCCGTAGCCATTACTGTCTGAGTAATCATTTGAGAGAGGGTGGAACACAAAAAGTATGAAGGATAAGGGCAAGTATACGTGAGTATTCAGGGATCAGTCTAGAGAGATGAAGGCTTCTTTCAACTTGGTACCAGAAGGACCTACCACATATTAAGCTGCTGCTTCCCAGTGAACTACTTCCTGCCACTCTACTGGTCTTCTCAGAAACTGTATGCTTTCACTGTCTTGCTAGGAAACCCTACCTAACACAAGTTAAGACTACTTGTTTAGTACTAACAAATGACAAGATAAATTATTTGTCTATCCAAGATAAAGAGATGGATTTGAAGAACTATTTAATATACTCTGACAATTGTCAAGTCTTTTGGAAAAAAGAAAGTTAGACTCCCAACTCATCTGTAAGCTATGTCAGATGGAGCAAGAATTTAAATATTATAATATTACAAACGAGAAACATACTAGAAAGACACACTGGTATTTCTGAAATCCAGAGTGAGGGAGAATTGATACAAATAACACAAACCATAAAGGAAATCTATTATTCTGCTCTTTTGTTTGTTTTGGAACATAGCCTACAGGTCAAAGTAATTTGTAAGTTACATACATTCAAATAGGCAAAAAGAACAGATAAATTGCAACTATTCAAAAATAAGTATTTAAATAATATAATTACTACTAGTGATTAAGTTTTACAATATAATTTCAGATGGATTTCTAGGTACTACCTCAGGAGGTACATGTTGACTACCACTTATCCACAACGCCAAAAATGTTCCAGATTTTGGATTTGATTAGGTTTTGGCATATTGGCATACAAATAATGAGTATGGAACTGAAGTCTAACCAGGAAGTTCATTTATGTTTCATACAGACTTTGTAAACAGCTTAAATAACATATAATATTTTAAATAATTAAGTATGGAATTATGGTGTGAAATTTTTCACTTGGGGTAACATATTAGTGCTCAAGTTTAACTCTTCGTTTTGGATTTTTTTAATTAAGAATATCTAACCTGTATTAAGCTTTAGAGAATACTAATTTATTTATAGACCATAAAATCACTTCATGGTATCTATAAGAGGTGCAAATTTCCAATTGTCAAGTCTCATACCACTTTTGACACTTAATCCCGCAGCTATGCACAACAGATATATTTATTTTTCAAATAGCCTAGAGAGGTTAAAATAGGCTACAAGTGTTCTTCAGAGCTGCAAAATTCTAATCAGAAGGTAACCAAGTTGATACTTGGGATACAAATGTAAAATAATAGCTATATGTAAATATCTTTTATAAATCAAGAAAATAAAACTTTATTCATACTTAAGTTGATGGCAGAATATGTATGAAACTGTATGCAAGAAGTGCATGCTATAAAATATTTTGTGAATCAAAAGGAGCAGAGATGAATAATACATCAAACCACTTTGCAAAAAACGATCTAGTTGGAAAGGAACAGAATTTTGCCAGATACTTAAGTCTTAGAGTCTCAATGACCTTCAGAGGTATCTCGGCATGCTCTAGAATTCAAGGTTAATTCCACCTCTAAAGACCTGGTACTTACCAAATCCTTGAGGTTTACAGGGCTTTTGTGTTCACAGAGGACCTGCACAGCTTGAAGGCAGCCCTGTGCCGCTGCGGAAAGGAAAACACAAACACCACAGAAAATCACAAAGCTACTCTCATAACACGGACACCAAACACTTCTAGGAAGGAAAGGATCGTGCTTTACCCAGTCAGCACAGGCTCACACAAACTGCTCAGAGGGGTTGGAAATTACTAGTTCATTTCCAGTTATCCATCCTTAAAGCCCATCACTACCCGGCAAACATCTGGTTTAGCTTTTCACTGACTTTTCTACAACTAGCAATCCAAGTCATTTTTAAATCCAGTGTTCTCGGACTTAAGTGTCAATGTCACTTTAAAGTATGTGATGGAGAGTCAAAAAAAAAAAAAACCCAAAAAAATAAAATCAATTGTTGTTTGTACTGACATCTAAATCAAAAAAATCTTTTTTATAGATTATCTGAAATCTATAAGTGCTATGATTATCTCTTCTAAAAGGAACTGGATTATTCATAGGTATAGAATTAGATATACACATATGTATATATTTATTTAAAATATATTTTTCGGTGAAGAAAAGCAAGAGACAGGAAAAGGAATATTGTGGGACTGTTCTGCTTCAAGGTTGTATATGGTGAGATTTTTGGACTTATGTGCAAACATGATAAGTATATAATTCTTTAAGCCTATTTTTAAAATATATTCTAATTTTCAAATGTTTTT